TGATTTCTAACACACACTCGCAGCGTTCGGCTGGTCTTGCGTCTGTCAGAGCAGAAACGAAAGCTGCTGATCTCAGTGTGTTTTTCCGTCGTCTCCAGTCGCGTTCTTGTGTAAATAGCTTGAGCGTATTTCGTCCATTAGATTAAAAGATCTGAAAAAGCCCATACATTTACCCGCCCATAGACCCCCCCCCCCCTTGAAGAAATCAGGAAAAGTGGTTGAAAGTGGACAAAAGAGACGGATTAAAACACCAGGTGTGAACGGGAATGTGTCTCCCTCGTCTACTTGTCATCCGATCGACCAAAACGCATCTTAATACCAGGTGTTCAGTGAGGTTATTCCAGTCGCAATAATCTCACTGATGTACTAGTTTAAATATAAAACCCTTTTCAGCTCAGTTCATGCTTCGCATCATCGTCAGGTGCGTGACTAGCACGCATGCACATCAGGTTGAAGGCCACGTTACCAATTCCTCTCTTTTTAGACGTAGAGCTCGCTGGCTTTCTTGTGCCTTCGACTTTCAAGCTGCCTGTGAAGTTAACATCAAACAGCTGAAGCCCTGTGCACTGGCTTTGAAGAGCTGAGCTCTGCGATCCCCTTGTGCTGGCGCTGGTAAAAAGCTGCCACGCTAAAAAAGTCAAAAGACCGCAGGGAACGGACGGTGAACTCAACCCACTCCGCCCTCCCTGTACGCCGAGGGGAGTCTTTGAAACATATTCCACTCTTGATAATGATGTTTCAGGGCTTCTGTCAGCCATGAGTGGAGGTGTGGGCATGTGTCAGGATTTGGTCCTTTCAAGGTTTCTTTTTGCCAGGAACACTCATAACCTATAAGAGAGGCCAGTCAGTCTGTATGTGTGCGTATGAAGAGGGTATTCAAATATAATGTGCTATCATGAGGAATTTTTCAATCTCAAAGGCTCTGGATCAGCTGAAGCACACAACATTTCTTTAGACACTGCAACAGTATCGGTGCATCCCTATTTATGTCATTAATATTAGTCCGTCAGAAAAGCAGTTCTATGCTGGATAACTCTTAGCAGGTTTAAAAAGCCCTTTAAAAATTAAATATGAACACAGTTTTGGATTAAATAAAAGTACAGTCAAGTCAAATAAAACACGTTTTATCTCCTGTATAGTTTGGTAACACTACAATAAGATACCATTCATTAACATTACTTAATGCGTTATCTAACATCAACACATTGAGTGAACAATAGGCCTATATTATAAATTGACACAAAAGAAAAAACATGAATAATCCTGTCTAAAATTATAAAATAAAGGTTTCTGTTTGTGACCAGTTCAATAATCGTGCTGCATTAATCATGCCTTGAATCTGTTGATGGTATGTCATATTTGTATGTCTCAAAATGTCCATTTCTAGCCACAAAACTTGCCAGAAGTCATGGTTTAAGGGATTATTTAAAAAAAATTATATAGCCTATGTGTGTGTGTGTATACTGTATATACATACATACATACAATCTACCCTACTTCAAAACTGCAGCTTTGAGGTTTTTGTTCTTTAATTCAGCTCATGCTGAGTACACACTGTACAATTTAAGCGCCATCGTTTTGTGCCAATCGTGTGCATGATCTAAAACACAATCTGAGACAATCGCTGATGTGTTGCCGATAACTGTCTGAGACAGTGTGAAATGTGTTTTGACTGGAAATTACTTTGGCAACGACCTACAGCCAATGAGAAAGCAAGATACAGGGCAAGGGAACGTTCTGGGGGGAGGAGTCATAGACCTGCAACAAAACATCACCAAGCATGGCTTCTGCAAGCAACCATTATCTTCCTCATATTCTTTCCCCCCCCCCCCACTGCAAATCAGTGCATCTTGGAGGCTGCCATTTTTAACAGGAAGAAATCCAATCTCACGCGTGATCTTACATTATTTCCTGAATCACTTCTCGCGTGTGTTTGGTTGTGAAATGTAGTTTATAGACCAGACAGAGTTGTCTGTGATTCTTCCTATTGAAACGTGTAATGTTTGACCCCTTGTCCCCGATCCGTCGTGAAAATGCGCACACAGCAGCAAGCAACTAAATGACACCCCAGAAAGTCGTTTAGTGTGAGAAGAACAGCGATCCGACGACTTTGAAAATCCTGCAGTGTGTACCCGGCATAAGAGGTTTACAGTACTCTGTAATGCGAAACTTCTTTGCATGACCTTGCGTTCCCAGTCTCCTGCATTTGTATGCCTATGAATGGAAGTCAATGGAACGAAAAGTGTAGCGTGACCACCTCTTAAATGGGGTGTGACCAAAACCTAGACTGCTATTCAAACCAGTATAGACTAATTTCAAGTTGTTAGAGCCATATCACTGTGCCGTACTCGTAAGCGTTATTTTTGTTGCATAGCAATGCTCAGTATGTCCGAGGCTATTGTGAGTATTTTGAAGGCTGTCCCGATTTCAGAAAATCAACTATTATAAAATGTACTATAGCTAATATCTTGTGAGGCTTAAATTACTGCAATTTCTTTCCAACTCTAAAATAAAATGGTTGCTTTTATGAAATGAGATGGCCTCAATGATGAAACGGCATATATCTTGCAATTTAAATGTGCGTCGTTCTTCTTATTTTGTGTGTAGCCTAGTAGCCTACATGTGCTCTGAGACTGCATGTTTTCAATGTAGAGCAACCTTTGGTTCCATATAGGAACGTTTTATTTGCTTAAAAGTTAATGAACTGTTTATGTTTCTCTTAGTGTTCATTTTCATATTGTATGAAACTATTTCTACGAAGGCACGGATCCGCGTCGATGACGTCATCGCTCGGGGGGTCGGGTCGCTGTGTGGACGTGACAGCCGAGCACGCGGCGGGCGCTAGGGCCCGGGAAGCCGAAGTGCTTTATCTCCCCATCCATTACATTCCCCTCATTTATTCTGTAGATCCAGAGAGCGCAGCACAGCACAATAACTCTCATACAGTTTCAATTCCAACCATATTCGCTGCACGGGAACAAAATGGTGAGAAGTGAGAGAGAGCAACGAAGAGAGGAGGTGAAGGCCGAAGACTTATTTCTGGAGTCCGAAACATCTTTGGATCAGCAAGATTTTGAGATGTCTACTTGTCCTTTCAATGACGTTTTCAACTCCACAGACTCTTCCATGATTAACACTTTCTTGAAAAATGTACAAGTTTTACTGGAGGCTGCCAGTTACATTGAGAGCACCGAGAGAAAAGATGGAAGTAAGTGAAATAATAGTGCACTTATGAGTGATTTTTGACTGATTTGCGTATTGCAGAGAAACTGTTTCATTGTCAATAGACTCAGACAACAAAGGATCGAGTTCATCGAACAAGTAGACAAGGAACATGTGCATTGTACCCCGACATACGATGCACAGCCACGATGCTTTTAAAAGATCAAGTTTCCAAAATGTAAAAGGAGCTCTTTTCATATTTTAACATATTTTTATAATGCATATAATCCTCCAATGCAGATACTTAAATTGTTTGGGTTGATTTCAGAGCTGTTTTTATCTGCACAAAGTGGTATAATGTCAGATTTCATATGTTCATGTATTATTTCATGCGTCAGAGACACAAAAACAGGGGAATAATTCCCTCTGCAGCACTTAATGTCCCAAATCGCATACTGACTGTCCCAAGCTGGCATGCACTGTCATGTGGGCCAGTTCAGAGTCTGGCATTGTTCGGCAGTGAGACATGCCAGGCTGCTTGCCACCTCTCTCTCTTTCTCTCGAGGAACATAAACAAGTAAATAAATAAATAAACAACATTTGCTGGCACAATACACACACTGACGTCACATCTTAGGCTACTGTGGTACAGCGCTTTGCACCTTATAACTCCATCACGCACGTCTACTGGTGTATGTATTAAGACTGAATATCATAAAATGCACATCGTACAAATAAAGGCATTTGATCATATTACGTTGTTTTTGTTCGAGCATTAAATTGTGCTTTGTCCAGATAGAAAATTGTTGGAAAAATATATATTCGCAGCCCACGTTTTATATTATTAGCATACATTTTAAATGTATAAGACTAATCGTGTCTGAAGATAAACTAAAATGGTATAATGAGAAGTTTAAAAGCACTTTAGGAACAATAGAATGCTTTCACCAACTCGCTCCAATAGATCGTCCGATTTACTTGCATTAACAGTCATTGCGATTTAAAGAGAACCCGAATCACATGGGGTAAATCTGGAATTGTATATGCAGACAGCATATCTAACTTCAAAATAGTTCTCAAAATTGCCTTCCTGTTTCTTAGGGGGGTGTGTTCACATGACATCCACATGGCGCACTTTGCGCTGATGTGATTGGTCAGAGCTTGTTGCTTTGGCGAACGCTTACCAGAGCCTCTGCCAATCACAGAGCTGCGGGGCTATGATGTCATATGTTGCTGGGCCTGGCTTAAACGAGACTGGAAGTGAGGCCTTGTGGGAGTTGAAGTGCGCTGTTTCCAAACTTGAAAAGAGCATTAAAACATATATTTTTAAAGCGTTATTATGCCATGTAACACGCATAACGCAGATGAAATTGCCCCGCTTGTTACATGGCTACCTACCATGGAATTAATAATAATAAATAAATGGATACATTAAATATTGATTTGAGTTATTGTGTTATTAGCCTAGACTGCACTGCTATGTAGGGTTTCAGTTACAGCATATTCAGAAAAATAATGAATACAATAGTAAGTTTAATATTAATGAATTTAAAATGTGTATATATATAGGTACGTTTTACTCTTGTTTGCTAGAAAATGCTATATATTCATTAGGAAGACTGTGTTATTCGTGTAAAAATGTGCCCAATAGGGAATACTATTTATTGAACTTATATTAAGGACAGATTAACTATTTTAGGCAAGGGTATTCTTTTAATGTGTATTAGCAGGACTTTAAATCAGACTGTCGTTAGCGAGTTAAAGGGCCAGTTTGGTGAAGGACTCAACTTCCCACAATGCCCTGCGCCGAGGTCTCTATCCGCTCAGCTGTTAAAACAGTAGGTAAACAAACTGAGGGAGGAGAAAAGAGCGCAAGCACCAGGGACTTCGCAGGCTGGGCTCTCGGGGACTCTTTTGTACCTGTTTCTATTAATTTTATACACTTTATACTCGACTCTTTTCCTAAAGCACTTTTACTACTTTAATATTTAGGCGTCGGATGTTTAATTTGTTTTTAATTTCCGGTAAACCAGCTTGTTAACGGTGAAGGAAATACCTCGAGTCGACGGTTCAGCAAATAGAAACAAGAATACAAAGTGAATATTCGAAGGATTATTCAATGCTTGGTTTTGCTACGCGACAGCTGTCATCGTGATCACATCAGGAAAAAAAACAAAACATCCCTAGATTTATTCAAACGATGACTGCTGTGCTGAATATACAGACGTTACTGGAAGCAGCCGAATATATAGAAAGGAGAGAAAGAGGTACATATTTGATGGTTATAAATCACGTTTATAGCATGACAACTGTCGTGTCATACGGATCAACGTGTGTTTTGAAGTGTGAGGGGTTGTTTAAAGGGACTTGACCCGATTGGGATGTGGTGTGACTCGTTTCTGTGGTGTCTTTTTCAGAGTGTGAACACGGATATGCCTCGACCTTTCCGTCTATTCAGCACTCCAGCTACCAGAGACAAAGGAAATTCCGAAATAAAAAGTGCAGCAACAACAACAACCACAACAGGTAAGCACATGATTTGACTCTCCACTTCCACGAGAAAGGAGAATAAAATCTGCTGGAGAAAAGCCAGGGAGAGACGTGTGCATAGCTCACACTGCTATGACATCTGTCAGGACATTCATATCACTGCATGCATGATATATACGGCCTTGCTTGAATTATTGCTGCTGTACTTTCTTGAGTATTTCCTATATACCTTTTTAACCGCATCTCAATTTCTGGGTCGGTTTTGTTACGTTTAAAAGCAGTATGCACTTTTAAATGCATTATGTCTGATGTACTTTCCTATATTTATGTATACATATATATGTTATAAAGCGTGCTGTGTTATTATTATTGTTATTATTAATGTGTGTTGTACAGTTTTGGGGGAGGGGAGCTGTCATCAGCTGATTGTCAAACGGGACTCTTGCTGCAGCGCTGAGGTTAGGGACCGTGCGAAAACTCACGTCCTGTTTTCGCCTTTGGCCGTCATGGGTTTCGTTTTGTTTGAACCGAAAGTTTATAGTTTTCGGTTTATTTAAACCCGTAATTGCCTTATATCCGCTAAATATACCTTTAAAGAAAAACCCAAAACACCCAAACCAGTTTTTGAATGTGTCTATTATAAGGAGAGTATTTTAATTTTATCCCGGACCCTTGAACACACGGCTCTTATTTACAGCAACTGTTGTTTGCAGGCTGCCAAGGTGAACAGCCCGAGGCGTCTTTATTAAATTATATTTCCACGTTATTCTCCTTCTAAAACATGTTTTGGAAAATGATCGCCTAATTTTCCCCCTAAATGTCAATTTAATGAAAGAAACAAATCGAAAAAGAAACTTTAGCTGAATCCCGAAAGTAGTGCACGCGACTAACGCAAAAACAAATAACAACAACAAAAAAGTCACGATATTAGTATATGGTTTACTGGATTTGAAGATGCCCAAAATGAATCTAGGTAGTCAGCTTACTAGGATCTATCAAACATGACTAGGTAGTTCACTATAATGGATTTAAGTTATCTTTACACGTTATTCTCCTTCTAAAACATGTTTTGAAAAATTATCATCAGGTATTTTTTGCTAAATGTCGATTTAATGGGAAACAAATTTACATTTATACAGTAACAGACGTTTTGAACTGTTTATTAAAAGACAGTTTTGTTGAATCACAAAAATGGTGCTATGATGTCAAATATCTGTTATCTTGGTATATGACCATTTTTTTGGAGATGCCCACAAATTTCATCTAGGTAGTCATCCGACTAGGTTTTGTGGTGGCCAAAAATGCCAGCTGGCTTGGCAGTTCACTATAAAGCAGACACAATTCATTTGAAAGGTTATATTCTTTCTTTATTAAATTATATTTCCATGTTATTCTCCTTTTAAAACATGTTTTGGAAAATGATCAACAGTCATTTTCCGCTATTGTCGATTTAATGACAATAAAACAAGTTGAAAATTCAGAAACAGGCATTTTAAACAGTCAGCTGACTAGGTTTTGTGGTGGCCAAAAATGCCAACTGGGTCGGTAGCTCACTAGGTTTTGAGATGCTCAGAATATCTGTTTCTGTGGGCATTTTACCAGGTTTTTGTGATGACCAAAAATGCCATCTAGGTGAGCAGCTCACAAGGTTTTGAGACACCGTGTGCGTGTTATTGTGTTTAAGGTTGTGTAAGTGCCGTCTGTTTCGTTTCACTTCATGTCTATCACACATCTTGATGACTGATCTCAGGTCTGTGTTACTGTACACAAAGCGAACAGTGATGAAGGGAATGTAAAGGAAACACTATCTGATCATCTGGCACGCATGTATGGAGGTGATCCGGTAGACTGACCCGAGGAGAGTTATCCAGGCCACTTCAGGTGGAAAGATTGTGGGGAAAAGACTTTACGGTCAAAAACAAACCGTGTGGAGCATCCCCATTTTTGTTTGTTTTGTCTGCCTTGGGCAACACACAATTTTGTCACAAAGATTGTCACGCTTATGCTGTGAATCAAAATTACGAATACACTAGTACTGTAAGAAAACAATTATCCGTTAAGTTTACAGAGCGCAATGCGGTGCGTTATTCAAACACATCCAAAAAAAAAAAAAACCCCTCATATTTACACAGCATATTTGACTATGTTTTTACAGACTTTTCTTATCACACAAAATCAAGAGCTGTGAAAACACAGCCATACTGTTAATAAGTCTTTTCCTCCCTCGCTCCATTCCTCCTCCCCACTGAGCACACAAGCATCCTCCCGTGTGAAGCGGCGACACCATAAGGTCAGCTGCAGGATGCCAGAAAACAAGCTCTTGGTATTATTAGTCGCCAATAAAAGGAAGTGGTCACATGACCCACGGAGAAGTAGGCCTTCGCTGCAGCCACGTCTTGCAGCTCCTGCAACGGCATTGCCATGCACCAGTTTGTCCGGCCATTTAGTGCTTTGGAAAAGCTTTCAGCGTGTTGCCACACAAAGAGCCTCTTAGGGGGACGGCTGATTCACTTTACATTATTAACATAACACTGACTCGTGCTCTCAGAGAGGGCGAGAGAGAGAGCGTCCACTGGCACTCACTCTTTGTACGAGGAGGAGAGCTCTCTCACGTGCTCACATACATAGGCTGGTCATTGTGCGCGCTTTCTCTGCTCTGCACACTTAATTTCTCTGTCTTTTCGCTGCAAACAAAGAGTTGCAGTGACATGTGGGTCATCTAGAGGAGCCTTTATAATTCCCTCTGAAGCCACTGGATTGGTTGTGATGGGGGAGCTGGTTCAACCCTCCAATAAAGATTAATTAGTAAATCCATTGGAATCTTTAATGACGCATAGCCTTGTTCTTTACGAGCGGAGCGGCCAAGCTTTTTTTCCTCTCGCACGTTCTCTGATCTCACGATGAGAGCTGACGTTTAATTCGAGAGCCAAGTGCTCGAGAAATAAGCTTGTGTTTATGATGAGGGTTAAGATAAAAAACCTTTAGTGCACTTAATACTTCAGACACACAAACAAGTTGAAGTTTGCTCATTTAATGCTTCTGTTTTGTGTTATAGGTCCACACACAATGAGCTGGAGAAAAATCGGTAAGTACGATTTTTACGTTTTCAATTTTTTTTCTTTTCATTTTAAGGCTAATTGACATTGCACCGACAGACGTCAACAGATACGTTCATTAGGTTTTGTGAAATCAGTGCGTTAACCCTGTCGTCATTGCACTGCGCTTGTTTACACTGATTGAACATGTTCAGTCTGGGTTTGTTGGGTTTTGGAAAGTCTGAGAAGTGACTCACTGTAATCTGGTGATTGTTGCCGTTGGTCGGCGTCTGACGTGGCAATGATTGAGAATATCACAAGCCAGACTTAAACTTGCATTAGCCTCACGAGCACCACGACTCAAACTTGTGCAATAATTGACCACAATAGGTCAAAATCATTAGAAAAAAAGGTGAGAATACAATATCATTTCAATATTTGAGCCCCAATATGAGAACATTTGCTTTAGATCAGAGGTCTAGCTCAGCTCCTGGAGGGCCACAGTCCTACAGAGTTTTACGCCGACACACAAACCCGTAGGTTTCAAATAAGCCTGAAGGACTTAATTAGCTGGCTCAGGTGCATTTAATGAGGGTTGAAGCTAAACTCTGCAGGGCTGTGGCTGTCCAGGAACTGGGTTTGACACCCCTGCTTTAGATTCTTAGGGTACGTCTACACGATGTACTAAAAACGGAAACGTTTTTCCTTTGCTTTTTTCACATACAGACGAAAACGTTGTTAAAACGATCCCCGTTCACAAGGATCTGCGAAAACGACTTAAAACGCTGTGCTATGCATGCCAAGCCAGTAGTTGGCGATGTCACTTTGTAAAGAAACATTTCACGTCTATAGTCTGAACACGTAATGCACATGACGTCACCCTTTTGTACAAATTTGCTTTTTTGACGGCCGTATATCGTTTTCAAAAGCTTGCACTTTGAAAACCCGTTTTCAAAAGCTTGCGTTTTCAGGCCCCCAAAACGCTGTTGTCGTGTAAATGAACTGCCAAAATGCATAAGTTTTCAGTTTTTGTCAAAGTTTAGTAGGCTATTTTGTGATTGAAAACAGTATGTATTGCAATCTTTTATTTGCAGTCTAAATTGGGCGTTTGTGGTTTGAGTGCTTTGCATAATTGAGGAGCACAGGGTGTCAGTAAAAACAATGTGAGGAAACTGCGTACATTCCAGGTTTGTCATACCAGGAAAAGACTGCAACACTGTAAAAATACTTACAAGTTATATAATAGTGGTCTTTCCCAAAAATATTAATGGGAAAGTGTAATTAAAAATTGTGATTCTGGTGATCACTCTAAATTGTAATGTAGACACTTGCATTTTCTGCAAAACTGCTTTGAAATATGTACTGTGAAAAGCGCTATACAAAAAAATGTGAATTGAATTGATTCTTGATTGTAAGGAAATTGATACAGTGAAATATCGCAGTCACTTCAAGTATGGAAGCTACTCTTAAAATATTAAATAATAGCATTACATAAGGCTAACAGGAAGCTGAAGAATAGTCCTACAGTTGTCCTCGCTTGTCCCTGCAGCAACAGGTAGGCTAACTAAAAGTGAAAGTAAGTGGTGACCCAATTCTTCTAATCTAAGGGCATTCCCTCTCCTCATGGCTCGCCCGCCCCTCGGCCCTAAACAACTACTGCAGCCACAGTTTCAGATTACTAGCCAGAGTGCAGGGAGACGACAGAAACACTATGTCCTTTCGTTCACAATGAGAGTTGCATAAAAGGAAGAAAATGCACAAAAGGAAGCTAGTTATTACGGAAGGTGTACATTATCAAGAGAATACAAGTGTTATTTCTTTGAAATGACCCATACCTATGGGTGGAGTTTTCTTTGAAATCACCACCCATGTGTGGCGTGAGCGTTTACAGACAACTGTATGTTTTAGTCTCCCGAGTTCTTATCTGATAGGCGTTAGACGGCGGCAGTGCGGGGCCTGCTGTTTAGGCACTGCACGCGAATACTGAGGCTCCACTTTAAAGACTCAAAATAACTCTTGTCTAGACGAGCAGCAGCAGCAGCAGCAACTCCTTTGTGACCCTCTATCTGAAAACCTGGAGATCTATGAACTTGCCTTAAGCACAGCCTACTCCAGGAGTGTCACGTTTATTTGCTTGCCAGCCATTTTGGTTGGGACAAGGGTGAAACAGAAAACTTGTTGGGCAAAGTGATCAAAGGCTGCTGGTGGACCAAAACACAGTTTTAGTTCAAATAGTTTTGAATACACCATACTTATGAGTGCTTGAAAATAGCCTCATCTCCTCCCAGACCAGCTGTGTTTCTCAGATAATGTCTACACATGAGAAGGGTTGTCACTGCGCCGACACGGGGTTGTATGGGTTTGGGGCAGATAAAGATGCCAGGGCTTGTCGGACAGCCTTTAGTGTCAGCACAAAGAAATATTACACAACCCATCATGACGATGTCAGCAGCCCCACCCAACACTAAACCATATTTCCCCTGACTCCACATTACCATTCTGTCTATTAAAGTTCTCAAAGACTGGACACCCATCATTTTTATTTGACTAAATATACCTAATATCCCTTCTAGCTTGTGACCACAATACTTATAGTCATACGGAAGCACAAGGCGGCAGTTTCCTGCTTGCCAAAGCTTTACTGCAGTCTCGAGTGGCAAGCGGTTGCCATTTCGTGTCGGGCATCACATAGCCTACACTTTCTGTTTGATGAACATGTAAGATAGCTCACATTGTTTTTGTATGTCAGAAAGGAAGAGGAAGGACATGAAAGCCTTGTAACCGCATTCCGGCTTCTCGCAACCCGCGACACATATACAGATAACATATGTGTTCATATAAGCATGCCGCCTTTTGATCTTATGATGCCTTTGAACAAGCGTGGTGAGCCTCAACTTCCTGAACTTGGGTTAGGTTGCAGAGTTCGGATGTCAGAATGTATTATGTGCTGAGAAAGATGTCGAATCACTGATTTCATTTCCTATTATAGGTGTTATGTGGTTGTTAATTATTGGGTACATGCAAGTGAGGGTGTTTGGCTGTGTGTTAAGCATGTTGTCGTGGTTGTGTGGGCCGTGGTGTGTTTGACAGTCAGAATGCAAAGGCTCAGGAATAAAGCTGCCAAGCTGGCTTACTGAAAATAGACCAACGGCCCTAAGAAAAGATCTTTTCAGAGCGTAGAGGAGCCCGGGCTGATTGGCTACAACTCTCTTCCACCCACAATGAGAATTATGAGGAATAAAGTGCGTGTAGAAGACAGGACGTCATCCGTAGCCAAGGTGTTCTCCTCAAGAACATGCTGTCGACGACCTTACGTGTTTTCCTTCCGGTGTTCTAAGGAAGATGGCGTCAGGACATTCCGCTTCCCCTGGGAATTCCGGAAAACCTCTGGAAGGGAAGCCAGAACTGGCTGTTCTCGCTGACCTGATGCCTTGTAAGCTTTTCTTGGCCAGCAAAAGCAGCTTAGGAAGTGTGATCTTTGGTCAAGTAAAGCAATGCATACTCGCACACGTGCCAGGGCATGTTCGCAACGCACACGTAGACACACACTCATGCTATGGAAGGTTGACAAAGCTCTGGGTGTTTTGGGTGAGTCAGGAAGGCCACACACCCTGTGGCAGTCTTCAAGTTCTGTCGGAAGGGTATAGCAGAGGACATTTGAGATTCGGAGGGTTTGCTCTGCCTTGCCCCACATTTACTGTGTTCTGTAAAAGAACACAGTGTTTCATTGCATAAACACGCAAATACAGCATGCATGGCTACTAGTGGGTAATGTTGCAGAAACAACACGAACAGATCCTTGATGGCACTGTGAACTTTGCTATAAAAATACACCTAACATTTTTAGACTCCTCCTTACTAATACAACCAAATTCTTGAATTACAGGCTGAAATCTAGAAACATTCCTGAGTGGCATAATCAGTTGGATCAGCAACACCCTTAAAACCTGATAATGAAGTTTGTATGATTAGTTTCGACATTGTGTCAAAGTATGACCGTTTGCAGGCCTCAAGGTTGAAACCTAACACTCAAGATAGGGGCAGGGACCAATTGTAATTGCTTAACGACTGGTGAATGAAAAACCCATTATTGGGCAAACTACTTGTTGAAATATTGGGGGTATGTGTCCTACTCTATGTATATGGTGGTTTTTGCCCTGGGGCCTGCCACAGATTGTCCTATATTGAGTTCTGCTTTGGCCTATGGAGTCACCATGGCAAGCTGGACAAAGCCACACTATCCACCCATCCAATTGGTTGGAGCCCTTGAAGGTCATCCAATCATAACCAGCCACATTGATCTGCACCCTTTCTTTGTGTGTCATGGTCTTTGATCTGATTACGGAAGAGTCCTATGGCTGTTTGCCCTTCCACCACCGCTGTGTTTATTTTTTGTGTTTGGATTAGGCATCCTTCCGGGGAAGTAAAGTGGATTGAGTGGATTTTCTGAGAGGGAGCGAGAGAGTGGTGTCATTCAAACATCTGGTGACATTTCTGTTTTCTGATTTTGTCCCGTTTGTTTTTGGGATCAGCTCACATTTTATTAGATTACCCAAAGTGTGCACAACGCTCTGGCCTATTGAAATACGTGTAATAGAGAGCCGTATAATAGAGAATCTGTGTTTTTCATGCACATGGCCATCTGCAGGAGCTTTAGGGATGGGGGCAGCGATCACATGACTACACGCATAAACTCTGTGGGCATGTCAGTGGGGTCTGCTGGTCTGGGCTGTGTGAAGCAGATTACAGCTTAGCACGTGTGAACTAATCCAAGTGTTACTGATGGGCCAGAGCAGGCCCTGCTCCTCCACAGCTGTTACTCTCTGAGTTTATATGTGCTTCTTTATTTCCCTATGATCTTTAGCCATCCCTCTGCCAGCAGTCCATTAATGTACATGTGTTAAATCAGGGGTGCAACACAGGTATATCCTCGGCCCAATTGTCATTCTGTCTCCCCCTACTAGGGATAGGTCCCAATGTTCAACTAGTTGCCCAACAACCGACTAGACGATTGGAAGTGACAAGTCTATTCACGCATTTCATTTGTTTGTTTTTAGTTTTGATATTTTTAGCGATAGCTCTATAATTAGCATGCTTTGCTTTAGTTTGTTAGACTGTTAATAGAATAAGTTGTGTCTTTAAATGAATCTTCTTTAAAGTAACTTTGCTGCAACCTTACACATTCAGAAGATTGACTTTGGCAATTGCAGTTCATCTCATACAGGTTTTTTTTGAGCATCCCACCACGAGAATTGCGTAAATAGTCCAACTTGTAAAAAGCCTTCTTGAAACCCTTGCAGTCAATTCCATGACGTTGCGCTCTGTTGATGTTGACTACTAGTCAGTCTACTAGCTTTTTAGGCAATCCCACCCACTAGTTGATTTTGAAAATATGTAAATTTTGCACATCCACCCCCCTTTGTGTGTCGTACTACAGTAAGCTGCCATTGGTTCATGGCTCAAAGGCTGCTTTGTTTGCGAGCATGTTTACATAGAGTGCTGTCACAGTGTCTGTCGGTACTGTATATCAACCACCATCTCTCTCTCTTCCTCCCACCTCTTTATTCATCTCTTTTCATTCTCTCCATCCTGACTACCCCCACCTTCTAACTTTACATCTGTAACCATCTCTCCCTCCCTCCCTTGCTTTCTACCCACATTTGTAGGTTGCTTTTATTCCCAGCATGAGTGTATGTTGCTTTTAAGTTGGTATCTCTTTAATGTCATGCTTTTCGTCCAGTTTTCGGGCAGATTACACGCGAACCGAAGACTAGCAGCAATAATGGCCTCCCATCTGTGTGTGTTTGCGTGGTGGGGGAGGATACCGCGCTCGTTTAATCTGAGAGCTGTTCGAGAGCTCGGGACTGTTACTGATATGATGGGGATACGTCTTCACGCTCACTCGTTGTGACATCATAATAAAAGCATGAGGCCAGATCTTTAAATAAAACAAGGCTTAAACAAGCTGGTAACCCAGATGAAGCTGTCAGTCCCACTGTATTGATCAGATCCGAACTAGGGCTTGAGAACCCAGAGCCCGTTCTCGCTCTATAATCTGTGCAATAACCCAGCCATGTGACCTAACGCTCCAAAGGCATCATGTGAGGCATTAGATAAAAACATACTATCAAAGGGGAATCTGTTGGAAAAACCTTGCCTTTTGTAGAGTGCATGCATTGCTCTAGGGAACCTCTTGCATTTCTCATCAGTGCAGATTTATGTTTGCTGCACAGACAGACGTGCTGATTCTGTGTGGGAAATGTGAGATTTCCTGCTGTTGATGAAGCAAGCTATGTATATACACAAATATGTATAGTTGGCAAGTAGCCATGCTGATTGAGAGGGGAAAATATGCATGTAATTTTGTGTTCTTGATCATGCAGATTAATTTGTGGATGTGTCAGAATCATGTCCCCTTTTTGACCTTGACTTTAGTTATTAACATGTCAAGCCCATGACATTATGCAAACACCATGCATTATTTACCAATAGACCAAGCAGAATCTAGGACGAGCGTGCGTTTCTTTTCACCCCCTAATAAATTCCCCCACCACACCAGAGGACCAGGCGTTGTTTCACAGCCTTACCGTTGCCCGTATTCACATTGTCCATCCATATGTGTCTAACATTCATGTTATTTTACACTGTGCTGTATTTCAAAATTAAATTTGATTAATGAATAAATTAAGATATAGGTTACAATTGTTTGTAGAATTAGATGCAACCAACATTTCACGATCGTGACAAACGTGACTATGAGCCTGTGTGTTTATTTTTTATGAGTCATTTAAAGGGCATGTGAAGATGTTTTGGATAATACAATTCTTGCTCCGGGTGTAAGAGAGAACAAGTCTGAACATGCTCAACCGTAAGGGGCACGTTTGATATGAGTTATTATTAAACTTGTGAGTTGTAGTGAGTTCTGTATATGACTAATGCAGAGGAGTTTAAAATTCAGCATATTTACCACCAGAGCCAGAAGAACAGACTCAGCTTACAGCTTTGAAGCACAGATTCTGCACACCCACGATTATCAAGGGTCATTCGTTTACGGTTTTAAAACCAAATGAACTGCCTACAGAGGCAGCATTTGAAGGAATACTACTAGTTAACTCGTTTTAGTCAAATTAAAATGGTTCACTGTAAAAAAAAAGTTGGTGCCTTAAATTAAGTACAACTTAAATTACATACATTAAATGATACATTTAAATCTTTTATAACTTATAATCACATTTCTTAACTTATTTCGATGAGTTAAAGCAATGCAAAAACGTGTTGTCATAACTTATTGATCATGTCATTTTTTTATTGTGTTCTTTGTGGAGAATGCGAATGCAGAATGCATTGCGACAATGACTAGAAGAAAAATGGAGTTAATTTTAAGCCAGTCTCCCTTGCAAAGGGCTGTTTTTATTTGTGTCGGTTCATGTAGTGCTACAAATCAGCTACTTCCATGTTCCATGACTGTTCACTCTTAAAAATAAAGGTTGCAAAAGAGGGTTTTCTTAGCAATGCCATAGAATGTTTGGTTCCCTAACAAACTTTTTAGTGATTCTTCTTCTTAGTGTGAAGAACATTTCAACCGTTTTCCACAAAAAAAAAAAAAAGTTTCCACGGATTTTAAAGGTTCTGTACATAAATAACCTTTATTTTGAGTTTTAGGATGCCCCCGCAGAAGGCAGCTGCCTATGTAGGAAGCAAACTGCTAGGCTAATTGATAATGTGATAAACTCAATATGTTACATAACTTTGCTGTGCATAGATTGCTGTAATTCACACCACAAGTTACTCATAGTAACTGAAACACACCAGAAACACAGACCTTTTTACATACGTCATGCATGTTTTTGCTTTGTTTCAGTTTTGTTTTCTTATGTTGTGCAATGGGTCTGTTCAAGTATCACAGAAACCAAAGTGTTTTATGTGTGACGTCATAATTGAGTCTTTTAAAGATGTTGTTTTGCCTTCGAGACGACGGGCTTAGTGATAGTTGTTTGGCACGGTCTCTGTCTGGCGACTGAATTGAAGTCATTTATCATGCCACACACACACCAAAGCAAACACGCACGTATATACAACCTTCCCAGCAAGCACTGCTTGTGTGTGTGATGTGACGCCCGTCATGTCTGGAGACAGATGATATGGGGGATAGCGTGAGAAGTCTTTTAGAGATATTTGGGTTACATGTGGTTGCCATGCCAATAGGGTTGTAGGGCAAAATCGATGTAGACGAACTAGAGGCCTGGTGCAGTAATTTGTGCGAGCTACAAGTCAGCCTAAAATACCATTCTGTCACCTATAGCTATTAATGCACCAGGTTGATCAATCAATGTCCACACACACACTGAAGGCAGACAGAGGAACGTCTGCAAAGTGTGTGTGTGTGTGTGTGTGAGAGAGACTGCTGTCCAGATAACAGTGCCCTCTCTGTGGTGCTCAGACACGGCGATAAGGCTTGTGATAAATCTACCGCCATTGTCACAGGCTAGACAGACTGTATATGTGAAAGAAAGAGAGCAGCCTTCTTCATTGCCGATAAGGAGGAATCCAAACGGAATTAGAGTTGAAAAGCCTCAATAACACAATTAGAGACACACTCTCAGATAGCGATCACCCATGCGCAAGCACACTCACGCCCGTGTGCGCTCGTAAAATGTAGACAGAGCGTCTGCTTGTGTTTTTCTTTCAAGATTGTATGTATCACTGCATTCATTGGTAGTTTTTTATTAATTATTTCAATTCGATTTTATTCATGTTCATTTTGATTTAATTTTTTTTTTATCAATTTTTTTTGTTGCCATTTTTAGTTCCAATTGGAAATGAGAAATGGTTACTTATGAGAAAAGTATACGTTTTTTATATTCAGTTCAATCATGAAACTCTTAAAATAGTTTTGGCATAGCATGTTAATGAATATGGCAGTGTTTATGTATTTGGTCTGGGCGAACTAGATCTTCCATGCTGCTGATACAGAGCAATTATAGACTTGCTAATGCCAATAGATATGCTGCTGTGAATATGTAAGATATGCTGGCGCTGCATGAATAGACATAAATCCATAAATGTTGAGCAAGCAATCTCATTGGCTGCAGGATCAGCAGAGGCCAACCAACGTGAGATTGCTTACAGATTGCATGTAAAGGACCATCAGCCCGCGCCCTCTAGAGTTTCAGGACTAAACTAGATATATAATGTTTATTTTATTTTAAGTAATTATTTTTTTATGACTTTAGTTCGCGATAATATCCCTGTTGGGCGTTTCGAGTGAGTACTGCAGGTCACCTCTATGTCAGAAAGGAGATGATTACAACCTCAATGATGCACTTTGATTTCTTGGAATGTAATCTTTAAGTAGTCAGTGGGTGTGTGTGTGTGTGTGTGTGTGTGTGGTTTGTGTTTAAGGTACAGAATGAGGTGTTGTCTTGTAAGCTTTTGACCGAACCACACACGCACAGCAAGTTCATTGCATTGTTTCAGGGCGTGTGCTTGTGTGTATGAGGCTGACCTTTGTTTTGTCATGTTTCAGGCGAGCCCACCTCCGTTTGTGCCTGGAGAGATTGAAGACCCTCATCCCGCTGGGACCAGACTGCAGCCGTCACACCACTCTGGGACTCCTCAACAAGGCCAAATCACACATAAAGGTAAACACACTTGTGAGGAGCTCCCATGATTGTCTGTTGCTCCTACATTAAGCAAATAAGAGCTATGGCCCAGTTGTTTACCCACATGCCCATGGTGCTCATGTGGGAAAAATGAGTTCGAATTTGGCTCACCACATTTACTCTCGCCTTGTGATTTCCTGTCCACCGTAAACCAGGAAAAGTGGTAAAAATAATTGCTATCCCCTTTGTGAATGTTAAGCGTAGCCAAATGCAAGTTGACTCATTGAGGCCAAAATGTTGGGATCACATGACTAGTTTTATTAGTCTACATCACAAACGTATTGGCTTTATATATGTATCTGATCTGAATCTCATTAACCACTAGCCAAAATGTACAAGATCACCTCACCTAAGATACTCACATTATTAACATCCACACATTGAAACAGCCACTACACCTTAAAATGAACACGCTGCTTCCTGCGAATAGAGCCACGTCCCTTAATGGGACGATTTGGTTTCTATCCCTTAAGAGCTTTATTGTAAAACACATGTCAAGCGGTACAGACAGATACTTTCTATTGTTGGAAATATGTATGTGATGATCATAACCCTTTTATTTTCAGTTTGGTTTTTATTTTGAGGTATTACTGGTTTTCCCCTTCATAACCGGTTAAGCTGTCCCGACCAGTCATGTGTGTGCGCGCACGTGTGTGTGTGTGTGTTTGCGGTTTTAGCTGGGGGTCATGCTGTATTGTTCTAGGGTAATGTATTATAAGGTCACAGGGGTCATGTGTGGAGGCATTATTGATCCGAAACTGGGTTCAGAACTGTAGTAAACAAATCCATCAGTCACATGAGCTTGACAAACACACACCTCTTTTAATAATCCCATCCCTTCCTGCTGTTTTATGTAGCATGGTGTTGATAAAGTTATCTAAAACTGTAGTAACTAGTGGTTAGTGCTATTGAGGTCAACACAGGTTTGAATCTGGCTGGCAACATTTCCCAATCCAGTGAGGAAAAGGGAAAAACTAAATTAAAGGTCTCGTAGTGCCGAATGTGTCTTTACTTATGCATTAGCTGTAATCATCATTGATTACAGCGTGACTTCTTTTGTAAGAGTCGTTAGGGTTTTTCAGTAATTATCCGTGAGTCACCGTTCTTTGTCTTTCCCCAGAAACTGGAGGAAGCGGAGCGCAAGTCGGCGTACCAGTTGGATAATTTGGAGCGAGAGCAGCGGCACCTCCAGAGGCGCCTGGACCTGCTGCGGGGCGGTGGCGGGGTGCTGGAGGGCGAGAGGGTACGCACTGACAGCGTGGGCTCTACCCTCTGCTCCGAGAGATCCGACCGCTCCGACTCAGACCAGGGTACCAGCTCCATGTTTACTATCTATCTATCTATCTATCTATCTATCTATCTATCTATCTATCTATCTATCTATCTATCTATCTATCTATCTATCTATCTATCTATCTATCTATCTATCTATCTATCTATCTATCTATCTATCTATCTATCTATCTATCTATCTATCTATCTATCTGTCTGTCTGTCTGTCTGTCTGTCTGTCTGTCTGTCTGTCGTTCGTTAAATCTATCTATCTATCTATCTATCTATCTATCTATCTATCTATCTATCTATCTATCTATCTATCTATCTATCTATCTGTGACATCTGATGCAATGAAACTGTTGTCTGACACTCTCTCTCTCTCTCTCTCTCTCTCTCTCTCTCTCTCTCTCTCTCTCTCTCTCTCTCTCTCTCTCTCTCTCTCTCTCTCTCTCTCTCTCTCTCTCTCTCTCTCTCTCTCTCTCTCTCTCTCTCTCTCTCTCTCTCTGTGTGCACAGAAGAGATGGAGGTGGACGTGGAGAGCACAGAGTTCTCTAATGGAGAGCTGGACAGCATCAGCACCGCCAGCACCAGCGATCTGGACGACCACAGCAGTCTACAGAGCACTGCCAGCGACGAGGGCTACTCCTCCTGCAGCATCAAACTGGCCTTCAGCTCATAAAACCAGCTCCCCTTTACACACTCACACACACACACTATCCCAGCCCTTCAAATGAGTCCCTTTCCCTCCTCAACCAATCAGAGACTTTTAAGTCAGGTGACCAGAACACCACCCGCCCTATAGAATGCCTGATTTACTGTTTTAAGTTTGTGAATGTATCTGAGAATATGAATGAGATGGAAACAATCTGTGATTGTGATTTAATCGGGTTATTAGATGGTTTTATCCCTGACTAAGAGATTTTTCTGATAATTGTCAGTATCTAAATCCCCTTTTTCCGAAAGGAAAGCTAAGATGTATAAAAAAAAAAAAATAGATGTTGATTTTTAATTCAAACCCCTGATTGTTAACTCCCTACATGAATGGGTTGTGAACTGGTCACTAGGGAAACTATTCAACTAAACCCATCCAAATTGGACCACCTGAGAAGCGAAACTCCATATCAATTCAACACAAGAAGTCCCAAACCTGTTGATTTCCTTTTCACCCGATCTAATGGTTCTAACGTCGCTGCTCTACGGCGACGAGGACTGTCATTGGTGCTACGTGACAAAACCAATAAAGCAGAAAGATCTACTGCATTCATCAAAGACAGCGGCAAACAACAATCCCATGGCTGTGGGAAATTTCTGGTGCATTTAAACCGTGGAACCACTTTCCAGGCTGCAGCTAAAACCCAGCGATCTTGCACTCGACTGCATAGAGCCCTCCGTAGAACTGGCGCCATGTCAGAGAAATATCCACCCCTGTGTTTAACTAGATGTCTCTCCTGGCAGAAATAAGCAATAAACTCTTGTAGTCGGATCAACACATTAGCACTCCTACTCTTGAGACACAGCGCTTGTGTCCGTCCAAAAGAGCAACGCCAACTTGCTCGGTTTTTTTTTGTACATAAATACGATAGTTTAATAAATTAAAGTTAAAATAAAAAACTGAGTTGAAAAAAAAAAGGTAGTTACCCATGGGTAGAAATTGCCTCTGTTGCTGTATGTCTTGTGTTATGTGCATTTTAAATTATATTTTTGCAAAGATTGACTATCTTCCTCCTGAGAGTCTTTTGTGGTGGCATGGACAGTATTATTTGTTCATTATGCTGGATGAAACGCAAGTAGTTTCAATTCTGTGGCTGCCCAAGGAATTTTACGACTTTCTTTAAAACTGAACGACAAGAAGAAAAACAACACGCTGAAGTACTTAAAATTGGACATCACACACAAGAACGAGTGAGCGCAGGCAGTGTGGACCTCTGTAGAAGGTATGCTAACTCTGAGTGGCACGAAATATTTATTGTTTTGAAGCTGAAAGGCATTCCAATACTAGTATCGTGTGCTGTGGACGTGGAGTGAGCAGTGCGTCAAAGGGTGCTTTCCCACTGGCAGTTTAGTTCAAAACGGGACACGGTTTGTGATGTGAAAGCTGTCATTCGGACCCCTGAGCGCACCGGGGTACTGAACCCAAGACTACCTGAGTTCGGTTGCACTGGAACTGTGGTGCGGTTCGGGTGAATGTGAAAGCCACTCGGACTCAAAGCAAAGTAACCTGGGTGCTCAACAAAAACGCATGTTAGGGATTACTTTGGTGATGGTTTACCTTGGATACGAGTGAGAGTGAGTGCAAATGAGTGGCTCACAATCCGCTGTCTCCTCAAAAGAGTCCAGCCGCCTTCATGCGACGCACGTACAGTAAACCCAAGTGTCCTTCACTCCGGTGCGCTTAATGGTACCAAATTAATATAAAACACAATGTATTGTAGCACGTTTGTGAGGACGTATGATGATCACAAATGCTAGAATCAATGATAAAATAGAATCAAGCGTAAACTAGAAAAAAAGTTGCGCTCCAAATAGGTGAAACAAATCCTTTTGCTTCAGGTGCATAGAGCCCGAAGGATAATTGTAAACAAGCAAGAAAATTGCTTACCGCACTCTGAATTCAGTCCAGACTAAAAAAAAAAAGTTTTTTAAATTGCATGGTGCAAAAAAGTGCATTTGAATTAAAAGCTAGACACGACTCAAGTGTGAAACCAGTTGAACGCTGCGGGTTGTCCGGGACTCGGACCGCAGCAAACGTGCCCAGTGTGAAAGCACCCAAACTCAGCCCGAAGCGCTTCAAGCTCTTGGCTCCCGCTGTACTGTATGTTAAACTTTTGTTTTTTCACTTTATTTTGTGTGAAAAGAAGCATTCAGACTTGATTAACTTTCCTCAAGTCGTATTTATTTTCTTTCCTTGATCCGAAATCGGAGGTTAAAAGGTTAACTTATTTTGTCCCTCAGATCTATAATCATTCCCCTCTTCCAGTTCTGTTCCCTAGTTCGGTCCTAAAACCGTAAATTCTCCCCATCTATGATATATTATTATTTTTTATTTTATTTTTCTCCCTCAAACGCAGAGCTGTTTTTTAGTGCATATTAAAGCCAAGTCTAATTTGTGATCATTCTGCCTGAAATGGAGCAGCACGGACATCTGCTAGGTGTCCCGATCCAGCATCAACCAAATGCTTTTGGATGCTGAACGGCCCATATGTGGAGTAGTTCTACTCACCCCTGTTAAGAGAGTTTTAGTGTTGACTGTTTTAGTCGGGTGTGAATTCTTTGTGTTTAGAACTGTTTCGCTCGTGCGAAGGAACGTCACTGTGACGTTCGTACGTTCAATGGAATCGAATTCAAAGCGGTGCTCTATCAACACCAGGCCAAATCACAGACGAGAACCTGTCGTCGTCCTCCACTGAGGACACTGCTTTTTTCTTTCTTTTATTGTCTCTCCTTTTCATTTATATTGTTTTATTGGTTTGTAATATAATCTGCACTATTTAAAGCCAGCTGGGCCCATACTGAGAAATGCCAGTGCTTTTTTTCCCGTTTTCTTTAATTTATTTTTTCCCCCGAAGAGAATGGACCGTGTTCTTTTGAGGCCACCGTACCGATCCAGGCCCGTATTCAACGACACTTCCAAGAGAAATGGTGCTGGTCTGGCATCAGCTCTCCCACGTCTCTGATCTCAGTCGCTCCGGAGGAAAAGAGAAATGCGAAACGGATCCTGCAACAGCATCTGTGTTTTGTCAAGGGACTCTGGGAAATGGGGTCTGTTAAAGGCGAAGCTTTTCCACCCTGGAAGGACAGAGGTCCTGATGAACTTGTGACCATTCTTTGTAAACATGCACTCTGATTCTAGCTGTGAGTTAAATGCAATACTTACAATAAACACCAAGATTGTCAAAAAAGATCAGGAAATGCCTCGTGTTTCTCTTCATTTTCTTTTTTAGTTACGTAAATTTTAGTAGACCACTGATTTTTTGTGTTAATTGAAAACAGAAAATCGGTTGTTAGTCTAACATTTATGACCATTTTTAATATCCATAATAATAATTTCCAGTAGCCTACTATTTGAATGTGTAGCACTTCATTTTAAATATGCTAAGATTTCACAATTATAATTTAAGTTACACACTCAAAGATTTATTGCATTTTGCGACACGAAATAATGAACTATTTTCAGAAAATACGTGCTATTTTGTCTAGCGGTGACGTGATGTCAGAATACAAATTAATCACTTTTCTTTTGGCGCCATCCAGAGGCCAAAATATTGTTTTTTTTTGTTCCGCAATCCGCACCCATAAAAACTGTAATGGTGCATAAAAAAAATAAAAAAAAACTTTTTTATTTAAAAAAGATTAATTTTCTAATATAGTGTTGTATCTCAAAACAAACACTGATCAGAATAAATCCCGTCATTGATCTACAATTGCATTTATTATTGATCCTCTGCTGCCCTCTGCAGGTCATTCATGATAGATCAGAGGTGCGTATTACCACCTGTTCTACATTAACACATCTACTGTTGTTACATAAACGGGGTATTTCAAATGATTCAACATTTCTTAAGTTTGTGTATTTGATCTTGAAAAGAATGGAACCAGAATTCATCACATATTGAAGTGTTTAAATCAAGACAACAACACATGTCCATGTATCAGGATCCAGTATCATTTCATGTGCTTTGCAGCTTAGAGTGAAATGTTTTAGAATACTATGAGATAATTTTAGGAAATTTGCTCTGATATCACATATATAGATATATCATCACATTATTGATATCACATAGATATCTCATATGGTGCAACTTGGGTTTGTAGCAGGTGTCCCAGATCGTTTATTACTGTTTCCAAAAAGACACCTACACTATTAACCTGGCCCTTGCCAGATGAATTTCGCTCCGCCTAGCTTCACTCACATGAAGTGAGTGAAGCTAGGCGGAGCGAAATTCATCTGGCTAGGGCCAGGTTCCTACACTATTACCATTATACATTTTTATGGGCTACTACAAAGCATGCATAAAGAAGCCCCACTGTATTATCATGTGTTTTTGAACATACCTTGATTAAGGCGAGACACTACAGGTGAATAGGGTAACATTTTTAAATAATAGATATCATCATGAAACTTTCTCAGTTAATTACTTACACAAGTATATATAAAAAATGTATTACAAGTTTTTGAAATTTGTATGTTTAATTATGCAAATTAGGCATTATCTCATTAAATATGCACAATTTTGCATATATTTTTGGTAGATAGATCTGAACATATTATGATAAAGCCAGGTGCAAAATTATTTTTTCATTTTGTTTACAAAAAAAATAAAAAATAATTTCAGAGGGATTTCAGGATATATGCTTTCATTACCAAGGAAATCAAAATATACTGTCCATACCCTTAAAAAATAAATTCTCGCCATGTTTTTTTTTTATTAAAATGTCACATAAATCAGACCAGGAATGATTTATAAACAAATCCCTCTGAAAATATCTTCAAAATATAGATTTATGAGATTGTTCTGTAAATCCTCCTCCATCTGTTATTGACTGTAGAAGAGAGAAGCTGCACTCGGTCTGACAAAACCTGCTTCCACTGAGATGCTTCAGCAACACGCTTTCAGCAAACTGAAGGAGAACAGAGGAGAGAGACAAGATATTAATGTTAAACTATAATTAGCGCAGCATCGTTGTAATTATAGATTATTTTCACATGATCTGAAAGCTATGCTTGTGATTAAAAACAGCAGTGAAGATGTGATATTAATCTAAAGAAGCCATTTCACAAATAAACAACTACAAGTAAGTGTTATATTTGTATATGTACAGTTTGTCTTAACAGTAAAATAAGTAAAAAGTACAGATAACTGCAATGATGGCAGAAGCGCTGAGCAGGACAGATGTGATGATGATGGACAGATGTGATGATGATGGACAGATGTGATGATGATGGACAGATGTGATGATGATGATCAGATTCCTCCAGGATTTCTGCTGTTGTGTCATGTGACTCGGATCCTGAAGTCTGATTCCTGTGGACAAATTCTGTCAAAATAATAATAATAAAAAATATATATATTTAGTGTTGAGCCAAACCAATAAAACAAGTATTAAAACATTTTGATACTTTTATGTAATATAGTATGTATAATAATAAATACTAAAATAAGTCATTTTAAATGACAACACTGATCATCAAAGTAAGAAAATAACTTACCGCTGATGTAGATTTTGGTGCCGTTGTTGAATTTTAGTGGTTTACTAGTTTTCACACAATAATAAACTCCTAATTCATCAATGGGGATATTCTTGATGAACAGACGACTGTTAGTTTTCACTGAGTATTTGTGAGCCTCCTTAATGTTTTTTGAAAAAAGTCTCTTATGCTCACCAAGGCTGCATTTATTTGATAAAAAACAAACAAAAAACAGTAATATTGTGAAATATTATTATAATTTAAAACAGCTGTTTTCTATGTGAATATGTCTAATAATAAAGTCTAGTTTATTCCTGTGATCAAAGATGAATTTTCAGCATCATTACTCCAGTCTTCAGTCACATGATCCTTCAGAAATCAGTCTAATACGATGATTTAATGCTCAAGAAACATTTATTATTACTGTCAATGTTAAAAACATTTATTTACATTTTTATTTCAGGATTCTTTGATGAATAGAAAGTAAAAAAAAACAGCATTGAACAGCAAGATGAAACATGGAAATG